TTTTTTTTTTTTTTTTTTTTTTTTTTTAAGAGATGAGGTCTTGCTCTCACTTGGGCTGGAGTGCAGTAGCGCACCCCTTGAACTCCTGGTCTGGAGCACTCCACCCACCTCGGCTTCTTGAGTAGCTGGGACTACAGGTGCATACCACCATGTCCTGCAAATTTAAGTGTTTTTGTAGAAAAGGAAGTCTCACTGTGTTGCCCTGGCTGGTCCCAAACTCCCAGCCTCAAGCGATCCTCTTGCCTTGGCTGGGGATTGCTTTTAAATTGGGCAGTCAGGAAAAGTAAGAAGTGACACTTAAGTCAAAAGCTAAAGGAGAAAAGGGAGTGAAGCTGTGGCTGTGTGGGGAAAGGGATCCAGGACAGGGAGTGGCCAAGGGCCGAGAGCAGAGAAGCCAGGGCCACAGGGGATTCAGCTGGGGTAGAGATCAAGAGGTAAAGAGGATCACATGATGCTGAACCTTGTTTGTAGGTTTCACAGACCTTCGCTCCAAATGAATCTTGTTAAGGTTTTTGTTGTGTGGCGTGATGGTGCACGTGGGGTTAGGCTCCCTTCCCTGCTGCTAAGAAGCCATGGGATGGTGGCTTCCTCGGGGCCTGAAGTGCTGGAGCTGGACCACCACCTGTCCCAAGGAGCTGGGAAGGAGGGCGGGCCACTAAGTAAGAGCGCAGCAACCCACCGAACCCCTTCAGGAGGAGGGGCACTCCTTAGGTAAGGGGACCACCACTTTTCGGAGGTGAAAGTCCTGGAAAGAAAACAGAATATGCTGGTCGTGGCAGTGCGTGCTGTGGCCTCAGCTACTCGGGAGGCTGGGGTGTGAGGATCGCTTGCACCCAGGAGTTCAAGACCAGCCTGGCCAACATGGTGAACCCCCCCTCCCCCCACTAAAGCAAAAAAAAATTAGCCAGGTATGGTGGTGAGCACTTATACTCCCAGCTCCTTGGGAGGCTGAGGAAGCCACCAGGTGGTAAAGGTTGCAGTGAGCTGAGTTCACACAATTGCACTCCAGTCTGGGCGACAAGAGTGAGAACTTGTCTCAAAAAAAAAAAAGTAAAAAAGAGTGCCTTTATTTATAGTGTTCCCCACGCCCATCCCCAAATCAGCCTCAGGGCTCACACGTGCGTTTGGTTCATTATGCCTCGTTAGTGTTTTAATCTGGAAGTTCTCTCCCCACCTTTGCACGTAAGTGGCACGTCTGTTTCCTAGTCGTTTTGTTTTGTTGACGGATCATTTTTCGTGCATCTGTGGGGTCAGGCGTGTGTATTCTAAGTGTTTTTTCTCTGTTCGATGTAGCACTCCTTCAACATAAACGTGTGAAGGGATTGTGCCCAGTGGGTGGGAGAGTGTGGCCTGTGGAATGAGCTGAGCAGAAAGATCATCATGGTGAGAAACTCGGGGACTGTGGTAATTGTGGCCTAGGGCTCAGGATGTCCCAGAAGAGCCTCTGCCACATAAGAGGAAGGGCTGGGCCGGGCCTCCACCAGATGAGTCAGGAGCCACAGGAGGGGCAGAAGTTGGTAGGTCTGATTTGGAGCCGGTGTCCTGCTGTGGCATGGAGGGAGTGGGGTGTGGCCGGTGTGATGGTCCTGCCAGAGTCCAGGACACCGTCCAGGAGGGAGCTCTGGCGGTGGGAGGGAGCCGCCAGCTGGCCGGGACCCCAGGGCTCTGGCAGGGGCCTGGATCTGGGGAGGAGCGGAGTGGCCCCAGGATCGTGGCTAGAGAAGCTATGGAAAGTGGGTCTCCCACCAGGCTGGGAAGCCCAGGGCCCAGCTGAGTTGCGACAGGCAGGCTGGGTCTATGAGGCACTTCTGGGGCTTGGAGAGGTGTCATGGTGGGCATAAGACTCAGTGGGGGTGCGTGAACCCCAAGGGTGAGGGTGAGGTCCCTGGTGAAGCTCTTGGTGGGGTGGGGTGGTGTGTGGGGGTTGTGGAAGTTGGCAGGGCACTGGGGTCAGGCCAGGGAGCAGCGTGGGAGGGAGGACCACCCTCAAGACGGGATTGTCGCCAAGAAATGTGGCGTGGGGGTGTGCCTCCCTGCCTGCCTTGGCTTGACCAGGGCAGAGGGGCAATGAGGAAGTCGGGGCCCAGCCAAGCTGATGGGGCCTTGAGGCGCTGTGGCCCTGGGCGCAGGGACAGCTAGGGTATAGCCATCCGGGTGTGCAGGAACCGAGGGCACTGACAACTGTCCTGGTCATGCAGGCTGTGAGCACAGAGCCTGCAGGTGATGCGAAGGTGAATAAGGAGCAGAGGGGGAACCCATCACCAGGGGTGGAGGCTCCAGCCTGGGTCTGGCTGTCTCTGGCTCTAGAGGAGCATACAGCAGATGCCTGCGGGAGGGGCCGGCCCCCACCAGTCTCAGGAGGGCAGGCTGCTGGGGCCTGAGGGCCCGGCGGAGGGGATGGGCTGTGGCCGGGGTTCTGGTGCAGGCCAGGAGCCAAGGACCTAGGGCACCGCTGCTGCCGGGGGCTTGTGGTTACCGTCCTCTGCAGGAGGGTGTACCCCGGCCAGCGGGAGCACCCTGAAGCTGTGGACAGCACCCAGGCAGAGGCCTCCTCCCAGCTGGGGAGCCAGGCCAGGCCCTGCCGCCCTCACACCATCCTGTTTGAGCGGTGACCCTGTGAGTGCAGAGCTGAGCCCAGAGCCCATGGCCCTCCAGGGGTGTCTCCAAGCAGTGTCCGCCAGGGGCAAGCCTGGGAATATGAGTTCCTGACGGACACAGGTGCTTGACCCGCCATCCTCCCAGTGGGACTCTGTGAGTGGCAGATGGGCAAGGGGCGCGTCAGGGTTTCTGGGACGGCTCCAAATGCTGCTATGTGCCTCATGGGCAGGAGCCTGGGGCCAG